ATATGTTGTGTCTTTTTCTGACACAAATACAAACTGATACACCATCGTCCAAAAATAGGCATGTTAGAGTTATCATTGGCTTCATGGAAACAGCTTCATCATAGGCCTGACCATAATAATCAAATTGTTACTAGTGAAATATTTATACAACAGATATTGTGCAAAAAAAAAAATTGAACGTAAGAATATTGAAAGCTCACTTGATTCCCATGAAAGATGATGCCCATCTCAACTTTTTGCTTGCAAATATGAAAATTATTAACACTAGGCAGCACAAAGGCCTTTAGTTAAAAGTGAATGGTTATTCTCTGCATAATGGCTGACTCAAGTGATAGGAAGTGATAAGCTAACAGAAGTATTTAAGTGATTTATTGATATCGTGTGTTATACACAAGATACACAGTGACACTTGCGGACAGACTACTTCACTCACTTATGTAGTCCTCTGTATCTTAGCACACTGAATATGGAATTCCCCAAGCCCCTGCTTTTATTTTACTAATGAAGGGGTGGGAATTGTAGTGAAAGCTTTAACTTTCCAGGTGAGCAAATGTTGACCTGTACACACACAGTGCTGGCAATAGGACCCAGAGTTCTTTAACAACTGGCTAATTTAATAAGGTCACCCTCATAAACCTGAGCATGTGATCAGCTCCACAGTGTGATCTTTTGAGACAAAATGGCTCCAGTTATGCTGTGGAGCAGCAGAGTGGTGACAGCGCCTTTAGTAAATGCCCTGGTGCATGTTTGCCCTCTCATTCTTTATTAATCATAATAATGTATCTATTTTATAAGAACTTTAAATAATATAAATTCACAATGTGATTTATCCTGCCTACCACTTATTGTAACAAACAGAAAAAAAAATCTTGTGTGGGATTTGTCACTGATATGTATTTGTCTTCACTTGACAAGTCAATGTTACTGAATTGACTGTTGATAAGTTGCGAAAAATTCAAGACTGCTCTTCCCTTAACTTTTGTATTCCCATATATGGCAGCAGCTTTGCATTCTGAACTTTGCAGGATTTCCAAAAGGACTTGTTCTAAACAACTCCTTTGAACACATCACCTTCTCTTTGCTAAAAGTCTGTTCTTCATTCAGGAGATTCCATTTATATACTCATTTGCTCCTAAATCTCCTCTAATTTTCCACGTGATCCTTTATCAGATAATTCTCCTTTACTTGTACTGCTACTCACCGTTTTGGGGCTTCTGCCACAAAGAGCCACATTTTCACGACCAAGGCAGGAAATTCTTTGACATTGCAGACCCCCATTGGTTTAAAAGGCACTATGATACCCAAGTTGGGCTCTGGGGAGGTGATAAGTTAGTCTGGCCCAGTTCATGACCAGTCCATAGTGACACAACCATCCTGCCCGTGACAATTCATGTCCCTCAATACCAGCTCATAACCCCATGGCACCTCTATTGCTACTCCCCCATATTCCATTGTGGACAAATCTCAGGTGTTCAGTCATATTCACTTTAGTCTGAGAAAAACTTCAATCATGAAACCTATTTTTAGAGTTTAAAACCAACAGAATGTCCAACCTGTTATGAAAAAAATGTGCTTCTACTTGGTAGCATCAGGGTAGCTAATTCTTAACAAATTCTTTAAGCTGTCAATCAAAACGTAAACTTGGCCTCGCCTGAAATGAGATAAATGCCTTTTTAGGTTTTGATACTAATCTAGGCATTCATAATGACCTCTATGGCAATAACAGCCTTTGGAAAATGTCAACAAAAAATTCTATTGACAGGTAGGAACAAATGGTAATTTTTTAACCTGCACCAGATAGTCTGTGTATCAAAGCAGTCCAGAAGATTTAGAAAGAAACTCTGGCAACTTCAGTCTACTTTCTTTATATCTAAAGGGTCATGAATATGAATAACTTTAGATCGTGGCCCTTATGGAGAATTTACTCACCTTCAAAAGCATATATGCCTAATCAATAAACCCTTGTCTTACTGCAAACTAACGAGTTTAGAACAGTTAAAAAGGGAGTCTGTTACTGCTCAGCACTAATTTCCAATGGCTGTATTGAGTTTGGGCTTTGGCCTGTGAGATTCATTTTTAATGGAGTTGGTGTGACTCTGTAAAAGTACACCCATGTGTCTGTCAATCTCTATAGTGTTTTCTCCTATTTATCCTTTTCCATTGTTTGCAGCAACAAAGTACTAATGTAATAGCAATAAGGACTTGAATGTATGTTACGTGGACCCAGAATTTCGATTGTCTACATGTGCACAGAGTATATCCACACAAACTTTACAAAGAAGTTAATTTTCATAGAGCAGGATAAATGCATGGCTCCACTGAATCAAGATTTGTGCAAATGCAGAGAAATTCAGTAGCATAGTTGACGGCACACAATCCTTCATGTTACATACTAATTAATTTAATCATGTATAATCATCTCACACAAAATGCTTTTTCAATGCATCTTCATGCAGTGTTTCATTATCATTTGTTTTAAAGTTCACTTGATTCCACACTCCCACAGAACAGAAACAAAGTTGTCTATTCTGTGAACAGTTAAGGTTATACTGTGGTGTGTTTACTCTGTTAATCACAAATGCCATCCAAAGTCCATACAGGTATTTATCGATTGTAGTTCTTGTAAAAGTAAATTTTGATTATATTGTTAAATGTAGGCTTGCTGCAATTTACAGTTTCCTCTTTGACGTAATGTATATACCAGTTTCTGGCACTGTCCACCCCTGCCTTAATCTAAAGTCAGACATCAATGTGAGATCAAATTGGATCTTGATTTCAGTTCTGATGTTTGCTCTGCTGTTAATGAAAGTTTGTTTGAACTTAGAAGTAGAATTCCCAAAAGAGGCTATATTTACAAACAAAATAGGCCCCGGGACTAAACATTTAACCATGCAGCACTTTCTTTAATGGTGCTAAAGAGTGTCTTAAGCCTCCAAAATGATGAGCAGGTGGTGCATGCAATTATGGACTAGAAGTGTGCTGTTCTTCACCTTGAACTAAAATAATGCATCCAAGGCCCATGATCGAAAGAGTGACAATGAACACCGTATTTATCTGAGTGCAGCTGCATTCGGGAAAATCAGGTCCATGTGCTATCAAGCAACTGTTCCTTAAAGGGGCAAGGGTACACCTCCTAGCCACAAATTAAAACCACACTAGCTTCTTCTGCCCCTATCATCGCCACTATCCCAATTGGACCTACTTTTATTTTTCCAGCCTACACCACACTCAGTTCTCTTCAGGGACTTACCTTTATGTGCACATTACAGTTATCCATTCTGGCATTTGGATTGTTCCTCACACATCCCTTTTATTTCAGGTCTTAGTACATTTTAGAAATTCTTGAGTCAATCCACTCATAGCTGACTCCTGTTCAGTTTTCTCTGGCTGGATTTTATGCTCTGTGCTGGCAGGTTTGATTCCAGCAGGTGGACTCTTCACTGACTACCTGCCTGCCTCCGAACTGTCATATTTTATGGTTTGTGGGGTAGGGATGGGGGTTGGTGAGAACATCTACTTGTCCTTAGGCCTATTGAGACTCTTAAATTACCAATGAACAGCTTCCCAAATGCCGCCTCCTACCATCATCAATGTTTTCCAATGGGCTGAGATAGAGGTTCAAATGATTCAGGAAACACAGCAGTTTCAGTTGTGTATTCTGGTGTTCGGCAAAGGACGGGCCACTTCGTCATTTACAAGCTTCTTGGGCACCATTGGAGGCATCCCGTTAAAGGTTATTTCCCTACTTTTAATTCTCCCCATTCATCCCCCAGACTCATGACCTCAGCTCTCAACTCCCATCACTCCTTTAATAGACTCCTGACTCCAAACTGACCTGGGCTCCTCAGCATGGTGAAATTGCCTGTAGTCTCAGCTGTAACCACTGCTTGGATTGGTGCTGTGGGGACCACAGAGATGTTAGGTATCAATTGGCCAATAACTCTCTTAGGACTTAATCTCCAGATACAGATGGAAGACACACCTTAAAGCAACTAACACTGCTTTAGGTATTAAATTGATGAGGGGGATCTGATGAGATCATGGGTAGACATCCGCCCTACGATGTTTAGCTGGGAAGAGAGAACCATTATGCCCTGTAAAACCCAGCTCCTTGTGTCCATCAGGCAAGTACAGTCAGAGATTAATCCAAGTGAATGTACAATTAACACAGAAATAAAACCTAATACAAATTTTCAAATGACCCAACAAACCCATTGGGACATTTTCCTCTTTGTACTAATTTTGCTTCTGTTCTTCAAAGGCTAATTTTGAGTGCAAAGTGCTTGCAGTAATTTATGTATCAACAGTCTCCTCGTGGCTTTGCTCGCTAATGTCACTCAACCTAAAATACTGATGACTGGAATAACTGTGTACCACATTATCTTGCTAGTAACTAAATATGAGAGCTATCCTCAGTTACCAATGTATAGTTGTATCAGTTAGGGGTTTGGGATTTATTTGTGAGTAAAGGGTTTGACCCATCTATTCTTATCAAGTTTTCTCCTCCTGTCCTGACTTATTGACTCATTTCTGGAGTTATGATGCTACAGCAACCATATCTGCCTCACTGTTACTAGCCTTTGTTCAGTTGTGAGCTTTAATGGTGACTGTTGGCAAACTCTCTATTCATGGCCATCTTCAAAGCCTAACTCAATCTGTTCTCACCAAGTGTCCACAGCCCCACCTGCACGAGAGGCGTATCATGACATGACTGAACACGTTGGTTAAAAATATCTACCTCCAGCAGTGATTACTGGATAGGGTTCTACTACTAAAAAAATATAAACTCACTTCTCATTGCCATCCTGTCAGAGATCAGGTAACCCAGAAAAATTAGGAAATCAAATCCTGGACCAAGTGTGTCAGCATAGTTCAGCCATTCACTAATTCAGCTCAGATGTCAAAGGTATATATTTTACTTCATGAGAATGAAAACCTAGAGTGAATTTTGAAATTTTAGTTAGTCAAAAGAACTTGGTCTAAATCTATTTTATCTACAGAATTGAAGAGGAAGAGTGGAACAAGTATATTATTCCTTCAAAAGCAGAGACTGAAAAATATAAAGTGAGTCGTACGTTCAGCTTCCTCAAAAACAGAATGACGAGCACCAGGAATAAGGGCAAGGTAGACAGTCTTCTTTTATTATGCAAACACATTTTCTATTAATTACTGCACTTGGAACCAGTTAATATCATAAATCACCAGAAGTCTCTCAATTCTTAGATTACAACATAGTTACTGACTTATGTAAGGTAGTGAACATATGGCTAATAATTTATTGTTGAGAGTGCAGTTAAACTATATACTGTTGTATCACAAATGTATTTTGTTAACTTTTTGAACTTCTTTGAATAACATTACAACCCTTTTAATTAGCCTCAGTATTATAATGATGCAGGGATGGGGGTTGGGTGTAGTTGGAAGCAAAGGTAGAAGGTGGTTTTCCGTGAAATTCCCCTGGCCAATATCCAGATTGGGCACTAATCACCGGGATATCACTCGATGCCTCAGAGGTGATAAGCTGCCCACACAGGCTGACCTGTCAAGCATGCCACATGGCTACAGGCTCTCCTGCCAGGGTTACTGTCTACCGAGTGCAGTTTGAGGCTCTTAACTGTTCCTTAATTGACCACTTCTAGTCTGTGACGTTACTGCTACTGATAATATATTGGGCTGGTAAAGTAGAACCGTTGACTAATGGTGTGGAGGCATAGGTTCGAATCCCACTATGGCAGATAGTAAAATTTAACTTCAATAAAAAGCCTAATAGTAACTATGCAATCACCATTTTTGGCATTAAAACAAAAATCTGGTCAGTATTGTCCTTTAGGGAAGGAAATCTGCCTGCCCAGTGTAACCTACGTGTGACTCCAGACCCATGGCAATGTAGGTGCCTCTTAACTGCCATCTGTGAAACAAGGGTGAGCAATAAAAGCTGGTTTATCAATGAACAAATAAATTAAAAATAAATTAAGGGCCTTCATTTGAGGGACTCAGGAAAGAACTTTGATTCTGGTGGATGTGGAAAGGTGGTGGCTTTTGAGTACACTTTGAGTCCACTTAAATAAATGCCCTTCCTGCCTCTTAGATCACCACCTCCAGGAGCAGAAAATACTACCCAGTTTCTCTCTATTTATTTTACCTGAGTAATTTGTTTTTGATAACATGAGACTTCCACACTCACAGAAACATAGAAAATAGAAGCAGGAGTAGACCATTCAGCCGATCAGGCCCACTCCATCATTCAACGTGATCGTGGCTGATCCTCTATCTCGACACCATACTCCCAATCACTCCCCATACCCCTCGACACCTTTAGCTTCCAGAAATCTATTTCTTTCTTCAGTATGCTCAGTGATTTCACCTCTGCAACATTCTGTGGTAGAGAATTCCACAGGTTCACCACCCTCTGAGTGAAGAAATTTCTCTTCGTCTCAATCTGAAGTGGTCTATTGCATATCCTGGGAAGATTCACTGAAAAGCCACCAAGCACACCTGTTCTTCCATCGTATATATTCTATTTATATTGCTATTCCTGAGATTTCAGGACACAAACCTTTTGAATTTTTTGTGATTAGTCCCTTCAGTGAGATTGACTGGACTTGCAATATAATGTTTTGTTCTATTACGCTTTTGTGTCTTTGTTGCTCTGATTTTTAGTTATTTACAGTCATAAGAAAACTAAATTAATCGAGACCACTGACTTAGGGTTTGATATTCTATACTGGATTAGTCATTAAAACACAAACTGCACCACAGTCCATTGATATGGGATTGAATGCCACCAGATGGCAGGATTAAACACCAGCCTTGCAGTCAAATTATTCATTTGAATCTGGTTGTTAATTGTATTTTCAGTGCAAAAGACAACATTTCTTTAGTCTGAAAAAGGAAGAAAAGTATCAATATTTTAATTTAAACCCTGGTGTTTGATTATTGGTGTCCAAACTAATGCCGTCAGCTCAAGCAAGTAATCACTTCCTTCTCCTCTCATGACCATGGACTGATCATCGCCAGGATTGCCCTTTTGCAAATAATTTTGTCAGCTTGCCTACTGTTTCGCCAAAGCTGACTGAGTTAAGTGCATGAAAAATAAATCTGGGAACTTGATGTTTTACAGGCTTATAATTGGGAGGGAGAGAGGTGAAGTGTGATGGTAAGGATAAGAATATTGAAATGATTAACTCACTTATTAGGAACAATGACCATAAATGGAAGAACATTTCAGATTGCAAATTTATAAATGCTGTAAAAGTTACTACAGGTACTTAGCAAATAAAAAAACTTGAAATCTTCATAAAACTGTCTTCAGCATGCTAGAGGACAGCATGATGTTTCACTTCCCAACATGTTTTACTTTAACAGGGGAAGCATAAAGATGCCAAGGAAAAGGAGAAATGGAGCAATGGCCACCACTTCATTGCAGGAATTATTTCAGGGACACTACAGTGCATGGTTTGTGACAAGCTTGTTGGTGGAAAGGATGTTCTACAGTGCTTCAGTGAGTAGCGATGTTTCAGTTTATAGAGTCATAGAGTCCTACAGCACGGTGACAGGCCCTTTAGCCCAATCTGGTCTGTGCTGACCAAAATGTCCATCCATGCTAAGCCCATTTCCCTGCACTTGGCCTATACCCTTCTAAACTTTTCCTATCCATGTATTTGTCCAAATGCCTTTTAAATGTTGTTAATGTAACTGCCTCAACCAATTCCACTGGCAGCTCATTCCATATGCATACCACCCTCTGTGTAAAAAAGTTACCCTGTAGGTTCCCATGTATTCTTTCCCCTCTTACCTTAAACTGATGCCCTCCAGTCCTCGATTCCCCAACCCTGGGAGAAAGACTGAGTGCATTTACCCTATCCATGCCTCTCATTATCTTATGCACTTCTTAAGATCCCCCTCAGTCTCCTATGGTCTAAAGAAAAAAGTCCAGCTTGTCCAACCTCTCCCTATAACTTAGTCCCCTGAGTCCTGGCAACATTCTTGTAAATTTCTTGTGTGCTGTTTCCAGTTTAATAACATCCTTCCAAAGCAAGGTGACCAAAACTGAACACAATACTCCAAGTGCGGCCTCAACAACATCATGTACAACTGCATCATAACTTCCCAACTTCTATACACAGTATCCTGACTGATGAAGGCCAGTGTGCCAAAAGCCTTCATCACTGCCCTGTCTACCTGTGACTCCACTTTCAGAGAACCGTGCACCTGAACTCTAATGTCCCTCTGTTCCACTACACTCCTTAAAACTACCATTCACCATGAAACTCCTACCTAGATTTGACTTTCCAAAATGCAACACCTCACACTTATCTATATTAAACTCCATTTGCCATTTCTCGGCCCACTTCCCCAACTGATCAAGATCCTGCTGCAATTTCTGATAACCTTCCTCACTGTCCACAATACCACCTATTTTAGTATTACCTGCAAACTTACTAATCATGCCTTGTATGTTTCCGTTCCAAATCATTGATAAAGATAACAAACAGCAATGGGCCCAGTATCGACCTGAGGCACCCCACTCGTCACCGGCCTCCAGTCAGACACGCACCCTTCCGTATTACCTCCTGCTTCCTACCATCAAGTCAATTGTAAATCCAATTTGCCAGCTCTCCCTGGATTCCATGTGATCTAACCTTCCACAGCAGCCTACCATGTAAAACCTTATCAAAGGCCTTACTGCCCTGCTGTCATTAATCTTCCTGGTCACTTCATTAAAGAATCCTAACAAATTTGTGAGGCATGATCTCCCACGCACAAAGCCATGCTGACTGCTCTTAATCAAACTCTGTCTTTCCAAATGCATGTATATCTTATATCTCAGAATCTTCTCAAGTAACTTACCTACCACAGATGTTAGGCTTACTGGTCTATAATTCCCAGGTTTTTCTTTGCAGCCCTTCTTGAATAAGAACACAACATTCGCTGCCCTCCAGTCTTCCAGGACCTCACCCATGGCTAATGATGATGTAAATATATCTGCCAGGGCCCCAGCAATTTCTTACCTACCTCTTGCAGGGTTCTTGGATATATCTGGTCAGGAGCAGGAGATTTATCCACCTTCATACATTCTAATGCTTCCAACATCTCCTGTACCGTGATGTGGACCGTGACAGACTGTGGGTGTGGTTGGTAAATCCAGCCCTGTGAACTGACGTTTCTGATGCAGCATGTAACAGAAGTTCAGTGCTGAATTTGGGCACGTGGTTTCTATGGCTGTATTGACTCTAGTGTCTGAATTCCAAATAGGTGCACTCACCAGACTAATCTCTGTACAGAGCTGAATAATAAAAAAAGTTACCTTACGGCAGTTATTCCGGAGGAGATCTTGTGGTGCAGTGGGCAGTGTCCCTGCCTTTGAGGCTGAAATTCCAGATTCAAGTATCACTCCTGAACTTGATGGTTAAGAAAGCTGTGTTTATCATGTGGCCAAACAGGTTGAGCATCAACTGGTAAATCCTTCCAATTTACACCAATAACAGGCAATAAATGAGAGAGCAATTCCTCACTTGTCATGTGATTGAAAGAATTTGGAGCCTCCTCCAACAGTGCCTATTTCAAGGCACCAACATGCGTGTAAACTCTTGGGTGGATGGGAGCAAGGGTAGAGGGGGTGGTGGTGGATCGGGGGTAGGGGTGTCTGATTTGGCCCAGTTGGCTGGACAACCAATGTCGATCAAATGGGTGCCAAAAGCATCCGGTTTGAACCTCATTCCAGCTAGGGTAGTTTCAGGCATTTTTTTTGCCTTGCGTCTGGTGGAACTGAGATGATGTTGTTCAGAGATAGTAGGAACTGCCGATGCTGGAGAATCTGAGACAACAAGATGTAGAGCTGGATGAACACAGCAGGCCAAGCAGCATCAGAGGAGCAGGAAAACTGACATTTCGGGTCTAGACCTGCCTTCAGCCAAGCACCAAAACGGACCAAGAACTGTTAAAGGTCTAAGTGTCAATAGTTCTTTTTGTCACTAAGTAGAGTCATAGAACCATAAGAGGTGTACAGTACAGAAACAGACCACTCAGTCCATGCTGTCCAGATATCCTAAATAAGTCTAGTCCCATTTGCCAGCATTTGGCCCATATCCATCTAAACCCTTTCTATTCATATGCTCTTCAGATGCCTTTTAAATGTTGTAATTGTACCTGCCTCGACCACTTTCTCTGGCAGCTCATTCCGTACACGCACCACCCCCTGCATGAAAAAGTTGCCCCTTAGGCCCCTTTTTAAATCATTCCCCTCTCACCTTAAACCTATGACCTCTAGTTTTGGACTCCCCTACCCTGGGGAAATGAAATTGTGTATTTACTCTATCCATGCCCGTCATGATTTTTATAAACCTCTATAAGATCACCCCTAAGCCTCTGATGCTCCAGGGAAAATAGCCACAGCCTATTCAGCCTCTCCCTATAGCTTAAACCCTCCAACTCTGGCAACATCCTTGTAAATCTTTTCTGAACCCTTTCAAGTTTCACAACATCCTTCCTGTAGCAGGGTGACCAGACTTGTGTGCAGTATTCCAGAAGTGGTCTAGCCACTGTTCTGTACAGCTGCAACATGACCTCTGTACTTTTTCTTCAAATTCCACCTTTTGAAGCAATGACAAAACTTATTATTTGGTTGCTATCTCTTTCTCTGTTCTCATGCCAGAATAGCTACCTTCCTAGATACAAAGGTCAAGAAAACAGTTAGAGATTAGTCTTCTACCATTTAGGGATTAGTCTTGCTGGGTATCCATTCATTTTAAATTGGTATTTTAAGACAGTTACTTCGAGGATAGTGGAGAACATATTCGACTTGTTCTTGAACTAAACAGAGGGCTGTCAGAGTCGTGTTAATAAGACAATGTGGGGACAACTTTGCACTCATGGTCATGATGTGAGTGCTTGCCCAATACTTCAACGGTGAGCTCCCCAGAAAACGAGTTACTGAAGTCTAATCCAAAACCTCTACCAACCAGTTAATTAAAGCTTTTGCATGCTGATTTCCATTAGCAGTCAGAGTTATTGACCTCAGGGCCTGAAATGCAGCTGTGAAGCAGTCTGCACTTTCAGTTTACTTTCCTGCCCATTCCATTGATACTAGGCTTTTCTAGTTGCAGCCCTCCTTCGAAACTACCCCAGGCCATGCAAATAAAACATTGAATGTATTGCTCCTGTCTAGGGAATGACCAGAAGAACAGATGAATATCTGATGTAATACTCTTTAGGCAAAGTTGGTGTAGACAATTTTAAAAGTAAAACAGTATTCCCTGAATAAATCACAGTTCTGTCATCAACTAACAGAAAACCCAGGTTAATATTTAGGTTGTATATCTTACAGCAGAATTGGTTTGAAAGAAAGAACTGTATCTAATGGTTGGCTAGGCAATGCACGCATGTGACATCTATCATAGTAGCTGGGGAATTTAAATTCTGTTAATCAGATAAATCTGGTATTTAAAATTAAAAGCTTGTCTCAGTAAAGATGATCGTAACAAGCTTTTCTGTTCAACTAATGTCCTTTAGAAAGAGAAATCTGCCACCCTTACATAAAGTAATCAATTCATTACCCTGGAAATATATCAATGAAATAACCCCTACCAACCTCTGAAATGGCCTAGCAAGTTATTCAGCTAACAGGAATTAGGGATCATAAGACATGTGAGCAAAAGCCGGCCATTCGACCTACCAAGTCTGATCTGGCATTCACTGAGATTCTGGCTGATCCTCAACTCCGCTTTCCTCCCTTATCCCCATAATCCTTGATTCCCTTAATGATCAGAAATGTGCCTATCTCAGCCTTGAAAATACTTAATTTCCCAGCCTTGACAATCCTTAGAGTCTTTAAATGCGCAATTCCTTATTCTGAGCTTATTCTTTCTGGTCCTAGACTCTTCCCCAGAGGAAACAACCTCTCCACATCTACACTGTCAAGCCCCCTAAGAATCTTGTATGTTTCAATAAAGTCTCCTCTCATTCTCCTAAACGCCAAGGATTTAGCTCAGTAGCTGAACAGTTAGTTTGTGATGCAGAATGATGCCAACAGTGTGGGTTCAATTCTGAGAGTTACCATGAAGGACTCTCCTTCTCAACCTGTCCCTTCGCCTGAGGTGTGGTGACCCTTAGGTTAAACCGCCATAAGCCATCTCTCTATCTCTCCCTCTCTCTCGCTCTAATGATAGAGCAGTCCTATGGTGTGGTAGGGCTATGACAACAACTTCTTTTGTACTGCGAAACCATCGACTCTTGGCTTATTGAGTAATGTTATGTGCAGTATCTTACTGAATGTCTATTGGAAATCCAAATATATTATATATACTTGTATTATCTTGCTTGTTATTTCTTCAATGAACCAAAATAAATTTGTCAGGCATGACTTCCCCTTCACGGAAACATGCCGACTCTACTTGGATTGGTAGTATATGTTGGCCTTACAAGTGACGTCCAAATGAGGTGAATGAATTTTGAATAATCTGACACTGTCAGATAGCTCCTAATTTATCTAATGTCTTTCTTTTACAGGTTCCTAGCACTTAAAATTTTATTTTTACCTTTTGCTGAAGATTTTTTCTATTTTTTTTTCAGATTGTACCATGAGTATTCATAAAAGTTGCAGAGATTCTGTTCCTATGTGTATCAAGGCCAAGTATCCAGTAAGTATAGCTCCCCTGGAGTAGAAATAAAATAATTTGGGTCCCTGAAAATATAATTTTTGATCATTTATTTTCAGACTGTGGCAACTATTGTTGTAACTACTTTTTATTGCCCATGACTAATATCCTTGAATTGCTGCTAGTGAACACAGTTTGTTAATTTTCTTCCTGCCTGCATGGGCCTCCAAGAACCATGCACAGTAGCACCTTCTGGAATTGGAAGTCAGCGCTGTGATCAGCCAATACTAATCGCTGTGTGTGGAACGTTGGGACGGGACACTATATCTGAGTGTTGCAGTGCATGAATCAATGAAAGCTGGTATGCAGGCACAGCGAGTAATTTCGAAAGTTAATAGAATGTTATCATTTATCACAAGGGGAATTGAAATCAAAAATAGGGAGGTTACGCTTTAGTTATATAGGGAACTACTGCAACCGCACCCAGAGCATTGTGATTTTTATTCATTCACAGGATGATGTCATCACTGGCTGGGCCAGCATTTATTGCCCATCCCTAATTGCCCAGAGGGCAGTTAAGAGTCAACCACATTGCTGCCCTAATTCCACGAGAATGAGCAGGAAGTGTTCATTATCAGTCAAAGAGAGCAGTGCTCTTACCTCACATGAGTAACACTATTTATATCAGGGATCTGCTGGGCACAAAGCTGGAGAACAAGGATTGTGATTGTTTGTTTAGTTTTGGTTACCTTATTTATGGGAGATTGTAAATAGTTTGCAAGCAGTCCACAGAAGGTTTACCAGATTAATACCTAGTATGAGTAAGCTGGCTTATGAGGAAACATTACACAGGCTAGGCATTTAGAAGAGTTTAGAAGAGTTTAGAAGAGTAAGAAGTGACTTGAATGAAACAAATTACATCCTGAAGGGTCTTGACATGGTAGATTTGGAGAGAATGCTATGTCGTATAGGAGATTCTAGAAATAGGAGTCACTGTTTTAAAATTAAAGGATCGGTGAGTGTCTTTGGAATATTCCTTCTAAAAAGGCAATGGAAGCAGAGTCTTTGAATATTTTTTTTAAGACAAATGTGGAAGGTTGACTCTATCCAGGACACAGTGGCCCACTTGATTGATGCCACATCCACAAATACTCACTCCTTCCAACTAAATGGATGAAAGGTTTTCAGGAGTAAGTGGGGAATGTAGATTTGTGGTTATTGTTACATTAAATACACTCCTCCTCTGCTGGCCTGTTATAGTTTTAATTTTTTAAAGATTCTTTTGTGTTGAGGGCATCGCTGACAAGTTAGTAACTGTTGTTCATCTCTAATTGTCTTTGAACTGAATGGCATTCTAGGCCATTCTAGGCAAAATATCATCATGAGGGTGGGGTGGAAGTTAAGCAGAGGCCTGCAGTATAACAACGCTATCCTGAATGCTCTGTGACACCAAATAATAAAGCCTCTGTCACCGCCAGATGTATGATATGCAGCACCATCTCCTCTGACTTTCTTGAGTTGAAGATTTGTCTGACCCCTGTTGGCCCAACTTTAGTGGCTTTAATTGTTTGAATCTTGCTGCAAAAGAGAGAGTACTGAATTATTTTTATTCACTTACAGGATGTGAGCATTGCTGACTATATCAGCATTTATTGCCCATGCCTAATTGGCTTTGAGATGGTGTTTGGTGGATGACAATTAAGTGGGCTAATTTGCCCTGCACGGTGCCGAACTTTTTCAGTGTGATTGGAACTGCACACTTCCAGAAAAGTGAAAAATATTCCATCATCTACAAGGTAACTGTGATGTGTGTCTTGTGGATGGTGGATAGACATTTGAGAGGAGGAGGTAAATGACCTGATGCAGGATTGCTAGACTCCGATCCGTTCTTTATATTTGTATGGCTGGCGCAGTTCAGATTCAATCCAGGATGTTGTGCCACACAAATGCCAGACAATAACCATCTCCAATTAGGAGCAATGTAACCACAAGCCCCTTGACAGTTAATGACGTTACCATCACTGGAATCCTGGCTGTCAACATCCTGGGGGGTTACCATTGACCAGAAATTCAAATGGGCTTGCCGTTTAAATACAGTGGCTATAAGAGCAGGTCAGATGCTAGGAGTACTGCAGCCAGAAACTTGCCTCTTGACTCCCCACTGCCTGTTTACCATCACAAGATGCAAGTCAGGAGTGTGATGGAACACTCTCTCCACTTGCCTGGTTGAGAGCAGCTCCAACAACACTCAAGAAGCTTGACACCATTTAGGACAAAGCAACCCAATTGATCGGCAGCATGTCCACAAACACTCATTTCCTCCACCACTGACGCTCAGTGGCAGCAGTGTGTACTATCTACAAGATGCACTGCAGAAATTTGCCAAACATCCTTTGACAGCATCCTCCATAACCAGTTCCATCTATAAGGCAAAGGGCAGCAAACACATGGGTAAACCACCACCTTTAAGTTTCCCTCCTAGCCAGTCACCATCCTGACTTGGAAATATATTGCCGTTCCTTCACTGTCGCTGAATCGAAATCTTGAAATTCCCTCCCTAACAGCATTGTGGGTCCATCTACTGTGCAAGAACTGCAGTGGTTCAGAAAGGCAGCTCACTACCACCTTCCCAAGGGAGGGGCAATAAATTCTGGAGCCCAGCCAATGATGCCCACGTCCCACAAAAGAATAAAGAAAAGGGCATACAATGATGGTTATGTCATTGAATGTCAAGGGGAGATGCTTAAATTCTTTCTTATTTGAGATAGTCATTTCCAGGCACTTCTGTGGTGCAAAACTTACTTTCACTCATTCATCTGAACCTGAACGTTGTTCAGATCTTACTGCTAGTGGATGCAAGCTACTTCATTATTCGGAGTCATGAATGGGTATGAACATTATGCAATCATCAGCAAATATTCCCAGTTCTGACCTTGGGTTGGAGGGAAGTCATTGATGAAATAAATGAAGATGGTTGGGAATGGGACATTGTCCTGTGAATGTCCTGAAGAGATGCCCTGGAACTGAGATGACTGACCTCCATCAATCCTAACCCTACCTTCCTTTGTGTCAGGTATGCCTCCAAAGAGTGGAGAGTCTGCTCCCTAATTCACATTGATTTGAGTTTTGTTAGAGCATCTAAATTCCATATTCTGAGGAATACAGCATTGATGTCAAGCTCACTCTCTCCTCACGTCTGGAGATAAGCTGTTTTTTGTTTATTGAGGAACCTGGCTGTAACGAGGCTGGGAGCTGAGTGGCAAGATAGAACTTAAACTGAGTGCCTGCGAACAGGTTATTACCGAGCAAATGTTGTTTAAAGCACTTTCGACAATCCCTTCCATCACTTTTCTCAAGATTTGAGCATAAGCTGATGGAATTGTAGATGGCCAGCTTGGATTTTTTCTGCCTTTTGTGGACAGGACATACCTGGACAATTTTCCAAGTGCTACATAGATGCCAATGATTATATATTAGTGATTACATTGTAGTGTCATGGTTGATAAATACCTGTCATAACTGAGTAGCTGGAGGTATGTTGAGACATCTTAGAGGTGTGTGAGAGGCAGCAGCAGTTGAGGGTACATGAGGGTATCATGGAGTATTTGGCTGTTAGGTATGAATCCTAAGAGATAGTTAGTGCGGATTGGTGACTGATGGTGATGTGGTGGGAACAAGATGTTCTTTGCGGATACATTGACTGAGGTAATTTGACCTCTTCCTGCCCTGCTGCCAGAGTCCCAAGAGTTCACTTACTCCCATTCAATTCAGAGGGAATTATTTCATGGCTTCTTGCCCTCTCAGGGAAACCTGGCATTTGTCGTTTTGTCCAGTTCTTTGACAGACACCCCCATTGCAACAGCTGTAAACCTTGGAGCCCTCTCTTCGCTGGTGCTCCATTTCCCTTCTCTCTGATTGTAGTATTGAGAATCCGCAGCATTTATTCCATGCCAACAGATTTGAGAACAGCTTCTTCCCCGCTGTTATCAGATTTCTGAATGGGCCTCTCATATATTAGAGTTCATCTTCCTCTGCACCTTCTCTATAGCTGTCACACTATATTCTGCATTCTGCTTTATCCTGATGTACTTGTATAAGGTATGATGTGCACGTAAAACAATACTTTTCATTGCATCTTTGTATATGTGACAATAATAAATTAAACCAAATCAAATCATGCAGCTTCTGTTTGAGAGGGACAGTATGTCTTTAAGAACAGCCATCTAGCCAAGGATCATACTGCCCTTGTACAGTGTTAGGCACCCATTGAGCATTCAGCCAACCATCAGTGTGCCTCTCATTGGACTGCACACTGAAATCATTCAAAGGAGGAGCCCTAATGTTTGTGTGCGTGCCTGCCTGCCTGCCTCAACAGGAACAAAGATATGCAAATTGTGAATCATGTTCCCCTGCTTAAACGTGAACAAATTTTAATCCTTATTATTTAATAATAAGTAGCAATCACAACAGTGATTACCTTCTACCCCTCTTCCCCTACAGAATCTTCTGGATTTTGCTTTATATTTACGTACACACAAGCCTAAGAGCATGAGAAGGTCATTTGATCTCTTCAAGCCTGCTCTGCCATTTTATGGCCTAATTTGACTTTTCTGCCTGTGCCTTAAAACCTCTGACCCATTCTTCAAAAGAACTTGATTAAACGTCCTACATCTACTGCTCTTGGGTGCAGAGAATTTCACATACTAATGACACCCTGAGAGAGAAAATATCTCCTCATTTCCACTTTAAATTGGCAACCCACTATGGTTAAACTGTGTCTCCTAGTCTAGTTCAAGTCTATTTCACAGGGGAAACTTTTCTCAGATCACCTTGTCAAGACTCCTTGGGTTTTTGTATTGATTCAATGTGATCACCTCCTTCTGCTAAATTCCTAAGACTGTAATCTTAGGTCCAGACTTTCCTCATACAATAATACCTTCATCCATGGAATTAGTCACGAAGATCTTCTCTGAACTGCTCTTAATGCATTTATCTCCTTTCTTAAATAAGGAGACCGAAACTATACACAATACCCCAGATATATTCTCAACAAGGCCCTGTAGAGCTGCAAGTAAATGTCCTTACCTTTAGGCTGAATTCCCCTGTAATGCATCACATTTATCTTCCTAATCATTTGTTGCACTCGCAAGCCAGCTGAATGGCATACTCTTATGTATTACTTTTATGTATTTGAATGTTTCAAGAAGGCTGCTCAGTATCACCTTCTCGAGGGTAGTTAGGTTTGGCAATAAGTGCTGGTCTGAAAATATGTTAATTATTTTTAACCAACTTATTACAGTTAAGTAATCATGTTTAACCAACTTGTTGAAGCTCTTTGTAGAAGTGACATGTCCTAGGGATAAATGGGATTTGGTGGATGTGCAGAACTTAGAAATCCAGGAGGTATTTGATGCACTGTCAAAGGGTTTTGTTGGACATAAAATAAATAAACCATAAAGTTAGGGATGGGGGTTATAGAGTTAGTGAGTCTTGAATGACTCTTCTTCAGAAGAGTTCTAAAATATTACCTCTGTTTCTATTTCCACAGATGTTGACAGACCTGCTAAGTTTCTCTAGCACTTTCTGTGTTTGTTTCAGATTTCCAGCATCTGTTATTTTAGTATTTTACTTTAATGAGTTATAGCTAAGCATGCAGCGATTGATGGTGATAAATGTTAAGCTAATACAAAATGTGATAACAAAGTGACAAAAGTAGAAGATTTTTGTGGAAATTATTTGGTATGTGATATTTTCAGAAATATTATTTCAGTATAATGTCACATATGTATTGAGTTTTGTCATGAAGATGTTCCACCATTGGTAACTGTGCTTTAAATTGCTTGGGCCATAACCTCTGGAATACCTTCTATACAACACGTTGCCTTGCTACCTTACTTTCCTCATTAAAGACAGTACCTTTCTGACTAAGCTTTTGCTCATCTGACTAATATTTCCTTATACATCTTGGTGTCACACTTTGTTTGGAATGCTCTTACAATGTTCCTTTGTTTTAAAGGTGCTATATAAATATCAGTTGTTGTTAGTCTATTCTTATGAACTTGGTGTTTTTTTTCTGCAGAATCTTCAAGATAAATGTCAAGTAACATCCCGAAGCAAACCAACCCACTGCGTGCACTGTAAGTAAGAACAATTACATCAAAAAAATTTGTAAAACTAGATGTACCCATTTGTCGAATCAGCTGTTTGTTAAAGTCACAAACTTCATCTTCTGATGCATTAGCAGGAATTTACTAAGAAACATGACACTGGATGTTCACCAGCTTCCGCACCTGCCCCACTTTTTACCAGATTTTTCGACATCTATTGGAGGTGTTTGTAGTATTTTCCCACTCCTGATAACTTGTGGTATTTGGTACTGGGCAAGGGCTTGAAGTAATTTGATCCACCCATTGTCTTTGCTTTTGTCTTGAGTCTATTTAGTGATTATTGGTAGATACACCACGATGGACGTACCTATAGAAGAGGTACTGTTCTTAGAAAACAAGAAAGCTTGTTCTATGTTAGAAATTAGTACAATGACATTTGGTCAGATGTAATTATTAGGACTAAAGAGAGTAAATGTTGGGAAACCTAGCAAGGTCTGACAGCATCTGTAGAGAGACAAATAAGGTTAATTTTCTGAGTCCCTTATGACTTTTTCTTCAAAGTTGCTGCCCTGGTAATTACCTTTTATAAATAATGTTAATTCATTTTTAGATAGACCAAAAAAATTGAGTTGTTGTAAGTTTCCTGCCATTTCTGCATCTGAATTTGTACTGCATTATACTTTAAGCCAGATTCTTCCAACTGCCAAGCATTGCTAAATAACATAGAGGTGCCAAAAGGTAGAATAAAATTTTGAAAACAGTTTTAAAAATTAACATTAATGGATGTAACAGAGTTTTTTGAGGCAATTTCTTGCTACTTACACACCAAGAGAACTCACAGAAGAGATGTATCCAACCAAAAAGAAATTTTGGAGATCTTCAAGGCTGGTCCCCACTAATCTGCTGCTATTAGATCTGTCCTCACGCCTGTGTTGCTGCAGGTCAGACAAGTCAACCGATGTAGATACAAACTTTTTGACATGCTTGGCACGTTACATGAGGGTGAGCTCCAATTTTCTGGATGTGTCAATACTTGAACATTGTGGGCTTATTAAGAGGGGGTATTTTGAAAAGTTACAGTTGATGAAGTGGGCTTCAGCCGACAGATTTAGTATAAAAAAGATGTTCAACTGGTTCAGGAGCATTTAATTCCTTGATTTTTTTTTAATGAAAAAGGCCTTATTGTCCTCCTCTGAGGCTACTTAAGGTTGAAGGCCTGGTGTGTTCTTTACACATTTTATATGAAGTAGGAGAATGATCATGAAACATAACTGGATCTGCAGCATTACCAAAGGAGGAAGAAACTGCTGACTTGGTGGGATCGAAGAGCATGCACAGAGCAAAGCTGACAATATTAGATCTTTCTGAGAAGCAATGCATTAGGAGCATTGTTTCAGCAGGAAGATGGCAAGAGAGCTCTTTTCAATAACTGGGAAATGGTGTACAACTATAATCCTGAAGCTCCATAACTCTTCTTATTCCAGTCAAAATTACAGTGGGACTCAACTATTATTTTATCGAATGCTTTCAGGTAGCCACAGGAGATATATCCTACATCAACTGACCTGCAGTCTGTAGATGCATTTACCAAGTCGCTGATGCCATGTTCACCAGGGTGGCTAATCACACTGTCTACTTGATACACTGAACATTAACAAACTCTTCTGTTTAAACTATTAAAATATCTGTTGTTTCAATAGCAAATTCACTCAAGGATGCATCACAGTCTGCATTCCTATCAATGAACTCCACGTCATCTTCTTTGCCTATTGGGCTTTTTGCTGTCAAACGAGAAACTTTGCTGCAACATCAGCCACTGTCAAAAAGTGCTTCTAGTATTAGTATAGAGAGGTAAGCATAATTGTTTTCCTTCTAATATTGTAAACCTCGTCTAACATGACACCATAAGATATAAGAGCAGAAATAGGCTGTTCAGCCCACTGAGTCTGCTCTGACATTTAGTGAGATCATGGCTGATCTGATAATCCTCAACACTACATGCCTGCCTTATCTCTATAACCTTTCATTTTCTTACTTCTTAAAAATGGGTCTATCTCAGCCTTGAATATACTTAATGACTTGGTCTCAACAGCCCTCTACTGTAAAGAATTCCACAGATTCATTATCCTCTAAGAGAATAAATTTCTCCTCATCAAGAGGACAACAACCTTTCCACCATATCTGCTCTGTCAAGTTCCCTAAGAATTCTACATACATATTAATAAGGTCGCCTCTCATTCTTCTAAATTCCAATGAGTACAGGCCTAACCTACTCAACTTCTAATCATAAGACAATTCTTCTGTACCTGGTATAAGTCTAATGAACCTTCTCTGGACTCTTTTTCTCTAAAGGGTTCAAAACTTGGCAATAGTACAATTACTTTCCTCATCCAAATAATTATTTTATATTTTATATGTAATTGTAGTATTAAAGTTGATCCCTGTGGCACTCCAATTGTTACAGGTTGTCATCCTGAAAATGGCCCCTTTTTCCAACTTTCTGTCTTTTGTTAGTAGCCAATCCTCTTTACATGCTAATATATTACCTGCAACACATGGGTTCTTTTCTTATGAAGTAGCCTGATACATGGTACCTTTATCAAATGCTTTCTAAAAATCCAAATATTATTAAATCTACTGCTTCCCCTTTTTCAATCTGCTTGTTGCCTCCTCAATTGTTTTAGTTATTATGTGAAACTTATTTTTTTTTCTTTTAGAAGAATCATGGAGTCAATGGACATGGAGGTAGATAGCTATGTTTCTCGGAACAAATCACAATCAGAGGAATTGCTTCAAACAATGGGCACATCTCCTTCAACAGAATCGCTTGCATTAGAGGGTGAGTGTCTTTCACAGTTGCATATATTCCGAGAAAATAGTGAATAAATTGTGGTGTTACTTGGTTTTAATATAGTTGGTCCAGTATTTTTTTGTATATTTCAGTCAGCTTCTTTCATGTCATCCATGAACAATACTTTAACAACTCAAGACAGACATCATACTTGTGTTCCTTTCAAAGTCTTTTGACATTTCTGAACAGGTTTTGAGTCACTGATCTCTCCGTGGTATCTACACCACACTAATTATCTCTTTTGCAAAGTTGGACCCATCTGTTTTCGCCTCTCCTCAACATTAATAAAAAGTCAGCTTGAATTTTGATATTGCTGCAGTTACGGTCTGTGACCTATTTGGTAAATAAACTTTGGAAATTGATGTTCAATTGTTTCATGTACATGTCACATGTTTACATAAAACAAACCATTGAATAGTTACACTGATCGACAGACTTCACAGACTTCATCTCATAACGCAGATACAAGGTGGAAACAGTCCATGTGGTAATCACGCCAACCCCTTTCAAACGAGTCATAACCCGTTCTGAGGAAGGGTCAACCGACCCAAAACGTTAACTCTGTTTTTTCCTTCACAGATGCTGCCAGCTGGGCTTTTCCAGCAACTTTGTTTTTGAACTCATAACTAGTCTTTGGCTTCATTTCACCACAATCCTTATGCCATGTCTCTGTCTAATCAGTCCCTCACTTCCACCTTTGTCTCCAGTAACATCCTTATATTTTCCACCCTCAACCTACCTTGACCTATTCTAGTATTCTCCTTGGCACAAGCCCATCTTTGATCCCACAAGACAAGTGGTGCAAATTTGAAAATATGCAACTGGTTTAGTCATCCATTACTAAACCTTGCTGGACCATGTCAAGCAATTTTGGGACTTGTAACAATCTACCAAGACTACTTCTTTCAGAATCATCCTGGAATGAAAGGTGATTCCCTTGTTTTACAACAAACAGTCTCCTTAAACCTTTCCTTATGTCCTATCCATTCTCACCACAACTGCATGTTTCTATTATGGTTCAGGCCCTTCATTTAATTGTCTCTACCACCTCTGTCCTTGTCCACAAAGCTAAACTTTTGCTAAGGTTTCTCCAGCATTTTCTCTAGCTTCTGGAGACACTGGAGTTTAGAAAAATGATGGGGGGCCGGGGTCGGGGGTCGGGGGTTGGGGGTGGGGAGGGCGCGATGGTTAGTGGGGGTCGAGGTGGTGGTGGTGATGGTGATGATATCTTATAGAAACCTATAAAATTCTAATAGGACTTGAGGGTAAATGCAGGAAGGGCGTACCTGATGACTGGGGAGTCCAGAACTAGAGGCCACAGTTTAAGGATATGGGGTAAACCATTTAGAACTGAGACCGAGAGAAATTTCTTCATGCAGAGTGTAGTGAGCCAGTGGAATTTCTCTGCCACAGAAAGCGGTTTAGACCAACATAGTGAATGTTTTCAGGAAGGAGTTAGATATGGTTCTTGGGGCTAAAGCGATCAGAGGATGTGGGGTGAAAGCAGGAACAGGCAACTGAGTTGGATGATCAACCATGATCATATTGAATGGTGGAGCAGGCTTGAAGGGCTGAATAGCCTACATCTGCTCCTATTATCTATGTTTCTCTCCTATCTGTCCAATGCCTTTCCAAGTATGTCCTTTCAAATTAAGGTTAACCCGATGAAGTGTATTGACATTAAATATTTTGAGCATACAAAGTTGTGTAATGGTCTAAAGGGGTTAATACTGAGGATTGGCTTAAGTATAGCCTATTATGATGTCATGTAGACTTGGTGGGGGAACAGCCTAGGATCTCAAAGGAATAAAGCCTACCATCCGGGTCTCTCAGTCTCTGTAATACTATATAGCATGTAACACATCATATACATGTAATTAGCTGCTAACGTGCATTAAAATACGTCTTGTTTAAAACTCTCTAGTTCAAGTAGCAAGTGGTCTATGACATCAGATCTAGCTGGTCCTGTAGTCTCTATCCCACGGTGGGCAACAGAGCAGACAGCCTCCTACATTAGCGTGGTCTATGATGAGAACAGCTTATTCTTTACAGATAAATAGGTCCAGAGGAGCTGACGTGCATCATCATCATTAGAAATAGTATTTTAATTTAATAAGTTTTTTGGTATCATTGCAAGAACTCCTCAGTATCCCATTCAAAGGGGTTGATCTTTTTTTATTTGTGTTTTTGGCGTATTTAAAAGAACATGAAAGAGACTGCTGGGACACTCTGATGTTGGTGCGTAGGATTTAGCACATAGTGTGTTCAAGCAGTTAGGATTCAAGTAAAATATTAATTGGAAGTCACTGACTTTAATTTTCAATTTTACCAGATAATGTAGTCCCTTCAATGCGTGGAGACCTTGAGTTTGATGCACAGGAGTTTAAAGCTGAGTCCTGGAGTCTTGCTGTTGATCATGCATTTAGTAGTAAACAACAGAAAGATCTGATACAGAGACAAGATGTTATTTATGGTAAGTTCAATTTTAGTACTGTAGAATTAGTGGCTGCAAGTATAGCAGTCAACATTTCTGAAAGGTTTAATTTTGTTATTTTTAAAAATTTAAATATATGCTAGGAGCTATTGGGTTCTTTCAAATCGTTATAAAATATTAAATAATAGTCCAAAATAGTTTTCCTCATTGCTGATTATAAAAAAATCATAAACTCAGCGCATGAGGCCTAAGAAATGTTTGGGAAAAATTATTTTACCAAGTGAAATTGATCGTTCCATCATTCTAGTTCTTTTACCATAACATCCTGCAATATTTAGCTATGCAAAGGGGCCAAATAGATTATTCAAAATATTTATCAGTCTTTGATAAAAATATTTCTTGATGATTGTTTTAATTTACTGTTTGTTAATTTACACTTCTATCCTCTAAACCTATTTTCCATAAGAGCATAACAGAAACGACAGGAACAGGAGTAGATCATTTGGCCTCTCAATTCTGGTCCACCCTTCAATATTATCATATTATGTTAATGTAATATTATATAATAATATATTATCATCATCTTCTGTCTCACCATAACAATTGATTCACTGACAGATATAAAAGTCTTAATCCTGCTGAAGCATCTGCATCGTTATTGGACAGAACCTTTCAAATTATGAGATAACAAGGTGTGGAGCTGGAGGAACACAGCAGGCCAGGCAGCATCAGAGGAGCAGGAAAGCTGACGTTTCGGGTCTGGACCCTTCTTCTGAAGAAGG